TCTCCCTGTCCCCTCTCGCTCTCTCTCTGTGTCCCTGTCCCCGTGTCCCCTGTCGCTGTCCCCGTGTCCCCTGTCTCTGTCCCCGTGTCCCCGTGTCCCCTGTCGCTGTCCCCGTGTCCCCGTGTCCCCTGTCCCCTGTCGCTGTCGCTGTCGCTGTCGCCGTGTCCCCGCAGCGCCAGGCGTGGCTGCTGGAGCAGTTCCGCCTGCTCTACACCGTGGGTTACTCGCTGTCCCTTGTCGCGCTGCTGGTGGCGCTGCTGCTGCTGCTGCTGCTCAGGTGGGGACACACCTGGGGCACTGAGGGAGTGTCACCTGGGGATGTGACACCTGGGGCTGTCACACCTGGGGATGTGTCACTGAGGGAGTGTCACCTGGGGCTGTGACACCTGGGGCTGTCACACCTGAGGCTGTGACCCTGGGGATGTCACACCTGGGACTGTCACACCTGGGGGTGTCACACCTGGGGGAGTGACACCTGGGGCTGTCACACCTGGGGGAGTGTCACCTGGGGCTGTCACACCTGGGGCTGTCACACCTGGGGCTGTGACACCTGGGGGAGTGTCACACGGGGATGTGACACCTGGGGATGTCGTGACACCTGGGGCTGTCACACCTGGGGATGTGACACCTGGGGATGTGACACCTGGGGATGTCACACCTGGGGATGTGACACCTGGGGGAGTGTCACACCTGGGCCACTGTCACCTGAGGCTGTGACACCTGGGGGAGTGTCACACCTGTGTCCTGCTGCCTCCCGCGGAGGTGTCACCCAGGGGATGTCCCCGTGTCCCCACGGGTGTCCCCGTGTCCCCATGATAGTGGTGATGTCCCCATGTCCCCAGGGGATGTCCCCGTGTCCCCGTGTCCCCACGGGTGTCCCCACGGGTGTCCCCAGGCGCCTGCGCTGCACGCGGAACCTGATCCACGCTGTGTCCCCGTGTCACCCATGGCGGTGTACACCTGGGCACCCAGGGGATGTCCCCGTGTATGTCCCCGTGTCCCCACGGGTGTCCCCACGGGTGTCCCCAGGCGCCTGCGCTGCACGCGGAACCTGATCCACGCCAACCTCTTCGTGTCCTTCGCGCTGCGCGCCGCCGCCATCCTGACGCGGGACGCGCTGCTGCCACACCCGGGCCACCAGGGCCACCAGCCGGGCCACCAGCCGGGCCACCCCCTGACGCTGCTGGGCACGCAGGTGTGACACGGCGGGGACGCCGCGGGGACGGACAGGGGGACAGGGGGACACCGCGGGGACGGACAGGGGACAGGGGGACACTGCGGGGACACCGCGGGGACAGCGCGGGGACAGCGTGGGGACAGCCGGGGACACTGCGGGGACAGCGCGGGGACAGCTGGGGACACTGCGGGGACACTGCGGGGACAGCCGGGGACCCTGAGGGGACACCGCGGGGACAGCCGGGGATACTGCGGGGGGACGGACAGGGGGACAGGGGGGCACCGCGGGGACACCGCGGGGACGGACAGGGGGACAACGTGGGGACACCGCGGGGACGGACAGGGGACAGGGGGACACTGCGGGGACACCGCGGGGACGGACAGGGGGACAGGGGGACAGGGGGACACTGCGCGGGGACGGACAGGGGGACAGGGGGACAGGGGGACACTGCGGGGACGGACAGGGGACAGCCGGGGGGACAGGG